TTTGGCTGTCTGGGTACTATAAAATCTTCCTATCGTTTTTGTAAAATTTTCTCCGAATTTTCATCTCATCCAATAGTATTGTTATAAATTTCCAAGTTACGTAATTTAATTTTTTCTGTATGAATGTTTAACAATGAATGTTAAGACCACAGGACCAGTTAGGTTCATGTGGCTTTAGAATTCAGTTGCATTAAAAAAAGGAGGTTTGCTTTGCCTTTCCATCCTGAGTATGTTCAGTTAGATATTTGTAAAACAATAACTTCTGGTAAAAGCATGCAAGGAGACATCCACAGAGAGACCATAGCTATCATGGAAGTCCTCCACTTCAATGTCTCACAATATTGTACCCTGTGTGACAAAAGATCTCCAAGGCTCATTTTCAAATTTGTTTCCTTAGTAGCAAGTACAGAGTCGGTATTGGTGATATGTGGCTATCACTAAAATCACCACAAGGGGATTAGTTGAAGGGAGAGAAGAACTTTCTTCAGCTTCCTGTTAGATGTGGCAAACTGTGACTGCAGTTCAGCAGTTCGGCTGTTCAAATCTCACCGGCTCAAGGTTGACTCAGCCTTCCATCCTTCCGAGGTGGGTAAAATGAGGACCCGGATTGTTGATGGGGGCAATACACTGACTCTGTAAACCACTTAGAGAGGGCTGAAAGCCTTATGAAGCGGTATATAAGTCTAACTGCTAGTGCTATTGCTAAGATATATTACAAAAAGGGAGATTAATGCAAACGTCATCCCACAAATGCAGATATAACACTGAGTTAAACAGGAATATGCAGTCCTGTTCCAGTTGCTTTGAGGTACAACTCCACATCTGGCCACTAGCCGCATTTGTTAAAGTTTGTGAGAGGCATACTTCAAAATATCCAGAGAATTCAAGATAATCTATCTGACAGCAACTTATCCGGAGACACACCTATCAATCATTGAAGCCTGTTGTTCAGCCAGTGGCCAACTAAGCCACTGTTTATAGATAATCAAGTCCTTGGCAGGTAGCAAGTTTTGATTGTCTCCTGCATTATACACTAGCAAGCATTATGTGCAGAGCAGAAGCCTCTCATTGGATCACACTTTAAGAGAACCTGCTGGGTTAAAAACTAGTGTTGCTATGTCTTCTCAAGATAGTAGATCAGTGGTTCCCAAACTTGGCAACTTTAAGACTTGTGGACTTCAGCTCCAGAGCTGGCTGGAGAATTCTAGGAGTTGAAGTCCACAAGTCTTAAAGTTGCCAAGTTTGGGAACCACTGTAGTAGATTAATGGAATGAGGGAAAGGGAAACCAACAAAAACGTTGGCATACAAAAAATTATGATTCCTTTGAAGAAATGAAGAAACCTCCCAGACATTTCAGCAAAATGAATTCTCGAGTAGACTAAATTCAGTCGTTCTCCTCACCGTCAGCAGGTATTCCACAGCTCGATGTGGGTTGTTGTAGCTGGCCCGTAGCGCTGCTACTACCCGCTCTCGCTCATAGCCCATGGACATGATTTCAGTCAGCATTGTCTCATATTCTGAGCCAGTAACTGGAAGCAGAAACAAAAGATAGCATTGTATTGTTGGGGAAGCCTGCTGTTCCTTTCTTGGCTAAGAGAAATCCAAGCCTCCCGCTTCTCTCCGAAGAGCAAAACAATAATGTGTTATTGAACGATAATACAAGCACCAACTCTCTATTATCGGGCCCTCAAATATTTTTGAAAGCTAGAGGCAGAATGGAGGTTTCCAGTTTCTCCCTACCCACAAAAATCCTTAATAAATCAACTCAAGAATGGACATTGAAAGTCACAAATTTAGCCGAGATGGCTAAAATATCGGCATATCTTAAAGATCACTCAAATGAGAGATATAAACGAGACTGGAAAAAATGGATTGACTATATACAATGGATTGACTATATACCCCCTGAGTTGTTCGCCACCCTGAGTCCCTCCTGGAGAAGGGCGGCATACAAATAAACCAAATACAAAATACAAAAATAAATACGGGACCAAGAAATTCCAGTTAGCCTATGCTTAAGATCAGGAATGATTTAAATTGTTCAATGTTAGCTTAGCAAGAAGAAGCTAAGATCAATGTAGAGG